AGAAAGCCACACGGTACTGAATTCCTCTCCTTGTCATCTTTTGTGCCTCTGTAACAAGTGAAGGCCACCACTCCAGGGACAGTACAGGACTGAGAACAGAAAAGCATTTGCTGACAGTGTTCAGAGGGCAGGAATAGAGGAAAATGGACAACAGGGCAAGAAATGACAAAAGTGCTTTAGCCCCTGAAAGCCTTTCACATTTTTCTGAGTTTGGAGACTGTGCAACTAGCTTCTCTTTGAAGTGAAACTCTTGCTAATGTTATACATAGTTCTTTCTCCATCCTGAATTTTTATTTCTTGGTTGGTGACTTGATTTATGACTACTAATAAAGTGCACAGTTTTCTCTGAAACCTATTTAAAATATGTTTGCAAGAATTGTATTATACAAAAGTAATAAAGGCAGAAGAACTAAAAAGTGAACCTAAGGAATCTCTGCCAGCATTGTGCATATTCACATTAGTTTTACAGTAAAAAATCTTGAGCGACGATGTCAGGATAAGGAATGCCTAAGGTCAGGATGACAAAGGATATTCGGAATAGCCATTCTGTAATCTGTAATATAAAGACATTTCCTAAAGCATTCTCTGTTTTCACTTTTCTAAGTACTGCCTTTCTTCCCACCATAATTTCTTTCTCCCAGTAGAAAGATCTGGAAGTGTCAAGTCCTAAACCCTGCGTTTTCCGCTGCATTTCAGTGTGAGGCTACAGAGTACCATTAGCAGGCTTTGTCCTGATCTCCCCTAAAGCCTTTTCTACATGATTCCCCTGTTCTCAGAGGAACCCTAAAGTCAGTCTTAATTCTTCTGTCAGAAAAGAAAAGCACTCCCTTAAACAAACTATGGTTAATCATTGTTTACATTAAAATGATAAAATAGACACCAGAAGACATCTAACTGCAGATTTAAGGTTTAGGAGAGAAAAAGAAAAAAGCTAACACGAACAAGCAGCATTTACTAGGAACCAACTACATGCTTGAAGCTATGGCCACTGTTACCTAACACAGATAAGCAAAGATGGCAGCCATATGATTTACCTGACAGATGGAGATGCTGGGAGTTGAAACCAGACAATTCTCTGAAATTCCCATTGTGCAACTGGCCCCTCCACTGGTCACCTTCTCTTTCTATTAGTGAGCAACTTGTTTAGGAGGGAGGGGTAGGTAATTCTTAGAGATTAAAATTCAATGTACATTTCTGTAGTAGTTCTTTAAAGCATTTATTGATTTATAAGGGGTTTATAATCTATTTATTAGTCTCTGATCATTCTTTCCTATAGATTAAGTCAAACATGAGAAGCTTAACACTTTAAGTACAGGCAAGCTCTAAGCTACGGGTACAGTTTCAATTGCTATTTCTCTTCTTGGTCACAGACCAATACTTCTCCCAAGTTTATCTCAGAGGCTACTGACAACCTGTCTTCACCAGCCTCTGCTCCTCCGCTACAAAAAGTCCATAGCCAGTCTTCCTCTTTGGTCCCCAAATTCCATTCTCGCCAACCCCAAACCCTACTCTTAACCACTGGGCCAGAATCCTCACCCAGCACCTATTTGCTTGCAGGTTTGGAGTTACAGTCAACACTACATTAACTTATTTGTGGGCTTAAGAAATATTCTGGGCTAGCCTGAAAATCCAAATCACTCATTATACTGACTGCTGTAAGTTCCAAACAAATTATTTAGAACAGACAATTTAGAAGTAAACATTTGAAATTCAGGCATTTCATGTTTCCTGTCTTAGGGCAAGAGGAGTTGGGCTTTCCAATAGCTTTGAAACATTTCCCAGGATAAAAAAGACAAACCCAGAATGTTAATCTCCCTATCCTCACTCTAACCTCCGACTAGGGATTCAGTTATGGTTTCCAGTGAAGTTACTAGCAGCTGCATGTATTCAAACAGGCAAATCTTGTAACAAACCATGTCCAAAAATCAAACACAACTTGCATTGATTTTTATGGCAACTTTATCTTCCCTTAGTGAAATCTAATTTTATATTCCCACTTGTGTCTCAGCTCTGCCAGTTACCTTGGTTCTCCTATCTAGACTATAAAACTAGGAAGCAAGCAGACGGAATTTTCATTTCAAAAAACCCCTTTGAGTGAAATGAATCAAGAAATGTCATTAACAAATATGGAGAATTTTTGGACCAAAACTTCTCAGCTCAATGATAAGCCTGTGGTTCTCAGCAGAAAGAGCTTAATAAAAACCTACTCAAAGTATACAACTCCTTGAATGACCAGAGAATAGAGTCAGTGGAGTCACTAGCATCTGTATCATTGAAATCCTCACTATTGGGGCTTTTAGAAGCACTGAATGTGGAAATTTTCAGCCAAAGAGCAGGCTTTGCAGATCTATAAGGAATGCAGACCTCAGAGAGAAAAAAAATTGTAGCTGCTGTTCCTGCCAGGCAACAATAGAAGCAAATGAGAAACAAAATCTATGTTTAGACACATTCAATATTAAGATAGTCAATATTAAGCCAACATTACACATTTCATGTGTTTAATGCCAATAATGGTAGCTCAAAATACAATGTCAGTGGGACATACTAATTAATTTAATCTTAAAGTCAATCACACTTCTGTGTGATTATGAAAGTATGATTATGAAAGATCAGAAGTGAATTAATATACTGTGCAGAAAAATATTTTGATTGCAGTTTCTAACATGTAAGAAAATGAGATGACAACTTTGAATTAGATTTTTCTAAAAGTACCAATATGACTATTATAGTACCTTTGTTTTTGTTTTTTTTAACTTAAAATATTTTCCAATTAAAAACTGAACAAAATTCCATAGCTAGCTCCCTAATTTCCAGAGAATTCTTTTTTTTAATTGAAGTATAGTTTATGTACAATATTATATTAGTTTCAGCTATATGACATAGAAATTCAAGGGTGTTATGCTAAGTGAAGTCAGAGAAAGACGTGGAATCTAAAAAAATAAAACCAAACAGAAACAAAATTCTCTTTTGATTAGGCATCCATTTATTTTTTATTTCATAATCACATAGAAGAGTAGCTCTAATGGAAGAGTTACACTGTGAGTAGACATAACTGTGGGTAGGACATAGTTTACAGTATAGCACTCCCAGGTAAACTTTGAATTGAAACACTGCATATAAACATCACACACTTTCTTCCAAAATTACTCAGATCGGGAATATAGCTCATAGCATTTACCACAAGCACAAGAATCATTCCTGACATTTCTGGTTCTGTACCAAGGAGTGGCTTTGAAATACATTTGGGTTCTAATCAATTGATGGCAAATCTTGATAAGAAAAATTTGGAAATGAAAAAAATCTTCAGTATGTCATTTGATGAAAGGAGAGCAGAGGAAACTGCTTCTTGCCTGGACTTTGTCTAAATCACTTAACTTCTTTGGGCCTGGATAAAATAAAAATGGTAGTTACACTTGTCACCAGAAAATGTCACACTTTGAACCTTTTGATGAAGTCTGCACTGTGTAACTGCTTGTGCTGGGACTGGGATGCTCTTAGAAGAACATTTTGGATCCCAAAATATGGAGCTGCAAAACAGGGGTGAAGACACAAAATATACCTCCTCCCTACAAAAACAAAAGCCTTTCTACTCAAAATTTAGACACAGCCTTTAAAGGGTGTGAACAATAAACACAGAAACCACTTTCTTTGTAAGACCTGAATCATTGTTTTCCTTAGAACTATAGAAGCCACATCTGACATTTGAATCTGTACTCTTGTTCACGTTCTACTGTTTGGGCAAGTCAACAAATGTCCATAGCATCCTTTTTTTAAATTTATAAAACGGATATCTTTTAAAATTCAATTTGTAAGACCATTGTGAGATCAATGAAGTGATGTATGTGACATGCCATACATTCATAAGCTCTTGAACACCTGAGTTTCACTCTGCACTATGAGGCAGGAAGCCAGGCCTGGTCTCTGGATCTTGTCCAAGGCACCTTCCCAAGCTCTAGTTGAGTCCAAGGTTAGTTGCCCCCTGCCTGCCCTTCCCACTGCAGTGTACTATCAAACAAGCCATTTAACACCCCGACCCATCACTCTGCTTCCTGCATGTACCCCTCCCCTCCTAGTGGGCCTTCCTCCCCCACCAACTATAAGTCCCCTTTAATGATATGTGTAATGAATACAGTGTGTTATGTGTGAGTTTAATGTGATTTATGTATTTTTTCCTACTGAGCAAGCATTGCATAATGACTGTAGAAAATTTGGACTAGTTATATAAAGCACCAGTTGGACCACTTGGACATGGACTTGGAGTCAGATATCCTGAGTTCTAGACCTGGCTTGGCTCTTCTCACTGTAAAAGTCTATTCCCAACTCCAGGTTACTGGTCTAATGTCCTAAAGTTTGGCCCACTCAACGCTCATGTCAGACTCCTCTAAAGTGCTCCTTCCCAGTGGAAGTCCTAAGCCCCACCTTTGCCCAACAGCTAATCACAACCACTGTGGGTAGGACTGAGGCATGTGCTCTGCCATTCTAAAAAAACCTACTCAGGTGATTCTCACACAGACCAGCATTTCAGAAGCTCTGCTCCAGATGTAGCCCACACCTTGAGTAACAGGATGTGGTGGTCTGGCCCTGCAGGGCTGGCATCCTCTGAGAACTTGTTAAAAATGAAGCATCTCCCCATAGTGCCCAGACATACTGCATCAGAACCTTCATCTTAACAAAATCCCCAGAAGATTCTGTCACACATTAAAGGGTTGAGAAGCCCTGCTCTGCCTCAGTATCACTTGGGAAAGCTTGACAAACTACTGATAACTGGGCCCCACCCAGAGATTCTCCTATGCTTATTCTGGCTTCTGGGGTGCGGCCAGGGCAAAGGGCTCTTAGAAGCGCCCAAAGTTATTTTATGTACAACCAAGGTAAAAGACCATTGTTCCCTAAATTGCAGCCCTGTATGGTTAAGCTACAACCAGGGTTAAACTGGCTTTTGTGGGCTCACTCACCGACCTAAGGACCGCTTAGAGTAAACAGTGTTTTTTAAGGGACAATAGCTCTGGACACAACAACGTCAAGCACACAGCTGTAGGTTCACAAAACCCGAGGCGGAAGACTTCCTGCACCTTCCCGCTAGGGCGCAGGGCACAGCTCGCGGGCACCCCAAGCCCCCCGCACCCCCGGGCCCCGCCCGGCTCGCCCCCGCCCCTACCCGGTGACGTGCCGCAGCCGGCTGCGCTCATGCGCACTCGCGCCCCGCGCCCGCACGGCTGCTCCGCCTCGGAGGTTGTCATTCTCCGCGGCGCGGCGGCGAGTGCGGACTGCGTGCTCGCCCGCCCGCTCGCCTGCCCGCACGCCGGCGATGTGACCGACAGCCCGAGAGCGGGCTGGAGGCTCTGCTGGCAACAGCGCCTCGGCTTTTCTCTTGCCGCATTTCTGGTTGAGTCGCCATTCCCACGGATCCCGATACACGCACCGGGGTCTCGGAGCGCCACACTCCGGGGTCGGCAGCGGCTGCAGCGCTCAGTTCGCGCGGCCGGGTGCAGCCACAGTGGGCGCCGCCGCCCGGCGGTGCACTCTGGCAAGTGCCCGGCGCCTGTGGGCACCGCGGAACCGAGGTGGCTGGTGGAGCGGCAGCTCGGATCTCTGCCCCCGCCACCGCCCGGGCAGTGCGGGGCCGGGGACTGCGCACAGCCGGAGCGCGGTTCCCCAAGAAGGCTCCCTGTCTCCTGCATGCCAGTAAGTTGACTGTAGTTTCTGAAGTTGGAGATAGCCGTGGGAAGGGGAGGTTCATTTTTATTATCTTTATGTTATGGGAAGCTGGGGGTGGCACCGCTTGTTAGCAGGGCTCAGCCTGCGGAGGAGTGCAGGGTGCGAAGAAGCGGACACCGCACGCAGGGAGAGGCAGCAGCCCAGGGCCGGCTGGCCCCAACCTCTGAAGAACGTGCCAGTTGAAAATGTGCTGTGAGAGGACAGGTGCACCGAGGGCATCTCGCCTGCTGTTGATCGCACGTGCTGAGCTGACTTGATTGTGTGTTTGGGGAGGTGGGGGATGGGGGGACGTTCAGGGTCTTGTCACTGTCGTTAGTTCTAAACGGAGTGACATCTGTAATATTCCTGGGGATGAGCGCTAAGTCATTCTTTCCCAGGCCTCCAGGCTTCCCGCGCATCCCATTTTACTCTTCCCCTAGGCAGAAGTTGCCAACATTTCCATAATTGGACCCCAGCCCTTTAGGGAAAAAGCAAGTTATATGTCAATCCAGCTTTTTGTGCTGTAAGGCAAATAAAATGAGAAATCCGCTCAGTGTATGTGATTTCATACACTTTAAGAATGTGGGCAAGTGTCAAAGAAATAGGACTTAGATGATGACACTTGGGTTTCACCCCGACTGTCCTGCGCCTCTTATGTAAGGCTTCCGGCCAGATAACTCCCCTCTCTGCAGCGGCTGCAGCTGTGGCTTTCCAGTCCGTTTGTTTAAGGTCCAGTTTGAACAGTATTTAATGAAAATGCTGACATGATATAGCACCCTGTGAAACAGAGTGTACTCTTCAAACTGGAGTGTCTTCTAATAGGGAGCATACAAGGAAAAACCCAGTATATTTTTCAAGGCAGCTCCAGGAATTAGACACATAAATCAAGTTTTAAAATAGCATGCATTGTGCAGAGAGCTTGCGGAGGACCCTTTTTGAACACATCCCCTTTGTTTTAGAAAAAGTGGAAATTGTTCATGCCAGACATTTGTTGAGTCTAAAAGTTAAGTGTACTGATAGACTTAATTATCTTAATAAACAAAGAGCATGATTTATAGGTAGCTGGTCTCTTCTGCTTTGAAGGATAGAATTCTTTAACCTTTCTTTCTCATCTATTCCCTATAGATTCCTTTTAAGCAGAGCAATAGGTTATCATTATTGATGTTTAATATTTGAGTTGATTAAATTTGTAAAAGGGATGCTTTGAAATACCATCCAGTACTGCTGTGACTATTAAGACAGCAAACATTAGAAAAAGGGGGATATTGAGATTATCTGGTGTGGAAATCAGTAGTTTAACAAAACAGACCAAGACAACCCTAATACATTTTTTAAATTTGAACTTGTAAATTAATGTTAAACCAGGGGTTTGTTTTAATGTAAGGTTTATTTAGTAACCTTCAGAAAGAGAAGCATATGTATTTATACGATTCCAGCACATAGAACAAGATAAACTAGTATTAGGCACCCCATGTAACAATACATCATAGTTATTTTTTAAATTCTAAGAAAATACACAGAATGTTGTTTCAAAAGTTGAAAAGTTAGTCAACACATCGTAGTTTGTGCGAGCATCCATTGCTCATCTCCAGAAGAGATTATGTCCTAACGTGAAATCTCAAACAGGTTGACCCCTGTAAGCATCATGGTTAGGAGGACAGACTAGGGAGGTGAGCTGCCCGCGTTGGTACCATCTGTATGAATTTGGACAATTTACCTAAATTCTATGCCTTAGTGTCTTCATCTGTAAAATGGGATAGTGTAGCACCTACCTCACCGAATTGTGGTGAGGATTAAATGAGTTCATAGATATAAAGCGGTTGAACCAGTGTCTGTCATGTAAAACTGGGATATAAAACTGGGTAAAGTTATCATTGTATAAAAAGAAAGGCCTCTTTGGATCCTGTGGGCATTATATGGCTGCTGACGGAGGCTGACAGAAGCAGTTCACGTGTGCACTAGGAGAGAGGGTATAAACATTTACTAAACACCTGCTAGTGATGCAGACACTAGTGGAGGCTGACATACTGTCTCTCTTAATTCCTTACTGAGGTGGGTGGCTTCATGTCCATTTTGGAGATGAGGAAACTGAAGCTCTGTGAGATCAAACTAGTAGAAATCAGAGTTGAAATTTTAACCCATTTCTGTCTCTTTCAAACCCTGTTTGTTTTTTTTTTGTTGTTCTTTTTTTTGACCCTGCTGCTTCAACTTGCAAAGTGTTTTTTTGATCTATTCTCCTTCAATCTTCATAATAACTTAATAAAAGAGGTGCATAATTATCTTCAATGTACAAATGAGGAAATTGAAGCCTTAAAATATACAAAGTGCTTAACAGCATTCACAACACAGTTATCCATGACTGGGAGCTATTATTATGATTATTACAATTACTGTTGAATAACTTGTCTACCCTCGCATGTGCTAGAGGTACCAACAGGTGAAGTGAGTTTTCTCCCTCAGTTTGAAGTGGATTGTGTTGCATTTTACTTCATGTATTCATAGAATCAAGAAGCAAACTAGTAACTGTCACAGTTCACACTGGAGGGCGGTCCTCCTGTGTGTTTCCTGCCTGCAGATGTGGTTGCAACGGATCCACACGCCCTAGGAAAATACCACAAGCCACAGTCACCCATCTACAAACAGTGTCATTCCTGGGCATGAATTCAGCCCAGTTGGAGACCAGCCCTGTGGGAGAGAGAGAGGGAGGCCTTGCCCTTTGCCACATATCATACTGTATATTCAAAAATGGAAATTACTTATATTTCACATTAAATAACATTCTTCCTGGAGGCCTTGGTACCAGTGTCATGGGGGCAGTACTGTGGTGAAAGTCTGGTTCATAGCCCATTGAACTTCTCACCTGACTCCCAGAGGTTGGGGGTGCGCAAGGCTGTGTGTGGTTTTTTTGTTTGGTGTTTTTTTAAGCCTTCGTAGGTTATCATCCATATATTAGAGTGTTCTGGCCCTTGATAAATATTTTTTAGATATTAAAATCTAATTGCTGTATAAGGCACATAGGCAACAGACTGATTTAATCTTTAATTAAACCTCTTAGCTTAACCTGCCACTGAAAGGTAGGTACTTCAAGACAGATGTTCTATGTTGGTCTCCTTTTCTTTAAGTCAAAAGTCTGTACAGCCTGGTACGTAGAGTTAATAATACTGTATTGCAAATCTGAAAGGTGCTGAAAGAGTAGATCCTAAAAGTTCTTATCACACACAAAAAAGAAATTTAATGGTGGTGACAGTTGTTAACTTACTGTGTTAATCATTTCATGGTATATAGAAATACTGATTCCTTATTTTATATATATCTGAAATGAGTGTAATTTTATATGTCAATTATATCTCAATTAAACAAATAAAAATGAATAAAATCAAAATCCTCTGGGACTGAGCTTTTGGGAGGGTTCCTCACTGTGTGCTCAGGGGAACACAATACCAAAGATACAGTCTGCCAGAAAAAGCCCTTGCCATCAACTGAGGCTTTCTGCCTCTCTGAGTACAGTATCTTCTACTTCGGTTTTAGCTCTCCTTGTCAGAATGCAGATATTTCATTTGACTCAGTCAATACTTACATTTTAAATCGCCCTCTGTCCTAGGTTATTCTATAGTAAAAGTCTTCTTTGATCACTTTTATGACTTGAGCTGAGTCCATAATCTACTTTTAACTAATTCTTTAGCATTTGTGGAACTGTTTTAATTCTTGTCTGTTAACTATTTATTGGCTTATCTGTGGCCACTTCTAAATCTCCAGATAACCTTCCTCTGACATCCAGTTTTCTCTTGCTGTTGGAAGATACATATACAAGAAATGCAAGCTAATTTTAATACGGATAAAGTGAATGAAGGTCATTTATTCTCCCCAGTCCTATCTGCTATTTTGAATTATCTTCCTTGGAGTTGGAAGCTGATTATATTTCTGGAACTCTGGCTTCATTATCTGTGAGAAATGTGTTGGGGAGCTCTACAAGTTTCTGGTTATATTAGCAAACAATTCATATGCACATGGCACAGACATTCTCTCAAGGCTGGGACATTGCTGAATTTGAGGGCAAGGAGTGGTAATGGGGGGAGACGGCTCTGAGTGTGATTTATCTGCCATATTTCTTGTCCTTATGGGTCATGTCTTCTGGTTAAGAATTAAAATGAATAGCTACCAGAGAGCACTAATGTGTGCTGACTGCCATGCTAAGAACTTTGCCTTCAGTATTTACTTTAATCCTCATAGTGCCCTTATGTGGTAGTTACTTGATTATCCTTTTTCACAAAAGTGGAAACTGAGGCCTACAAAGGTCAGAGTGCTTGTCCAAGACCATGCTAGTGAGTTTTGGAGCCAAAAGTGGAGCCCATGACTGTCTGATGAGGCCTGGGCTCCTTGGAGAGCATTCTTCTATGTCCAGGTTTGGGGACTCCATGATAGTTCAGCTATATTTCACAGGTGTACTTTATTGTGCTTCTTGAAATAATCACATACTGTCTCATTTGGTCCCCTCAGGGACCCTGGGATACAGCTGTAGGGGTAGTGGGAGGGTGCATACTCACCTTCTTGCCGACAGCTGGCCCTGGCATTGACTGCACAGAAAGCATTGTCTCCATCTTTGTGGAAGAAGAGCTTAAGGTTGGTTCATGCAAAAAGCTCAAAAAAGAAACCACATGTTAGCATTGTGAAATAGGAAATGTAAAGCCTTCAGCTGATAACTGGAGCACAGTGGAGAGGCATGTTAACTTTATCTGTGTTTGGGGTCAAATAGTTGCATCATTCTAGTTAAAGAAAAAAGTATAGAGACCTGAGATTTTCTCAGGTGATTTAGAAAAAGAAGTTTTTTTAAAAAAATGCATCATTAATGAACATTACTACAACAGTATCCCATGTCATTCACAGTGAAACCACGGTTTTTAAAGTAAGTGAATACATATGTTTAACAAGTGAGGTTCAAGTGTGTTGTCTCAGAATAGGAACATTGCATCAGATAGTCTGTGTCTACA